TCCCTGAAAAGGGTCTCTTCTTTAGTCTGTGGGGCAGTAGTGGTGATAAAAGGCTAATAGAGATGGATGAATGCAATTGAGTGGTGTGAAAGAGGGGATGAGATGAAATGAAAGTGAAATGAAACAGGAAATGAAGAGGAATGGCAGGTGGGAGGGAGAAATTACATATTCCCCTGAGCAATATTTTAGGTTATGGGTAGTTTACTACATGTCTAGGTGGGCCTCTAACCCTCATTTCTAACTGAATTAAGGACAGTAATCTGATAAATAAAACAGATGAGAGCTAATGGTAAGATAATAGGTTAGTGGTAATCTAATAGGTTAGTTACCTGATGCTCAAAGATGTATTTTGTTTCTCATCAGACAAATTTGATCATCTTGCTTCATGGTGGGAAAACAAAAATAATCCAGACATGAGTATTGGGTGAAAGGGTGTCATATTCAGGTCTGTTATGTAGGAAAGACCTCTGCATATTTCTGAACTGTACACAGGAATTAGAGGTACTCATCAAACAGCAATAAAAGGTTTAGCAAAGATCTGCCAAATGCACCCACATAGGAATATTTGTCAAAAATATATTTTTTCCCCATGACTTAGTTGTTCTGCATAGTATCCTCTCCCATGGCAGTTGTGCTCACACTTTCAGGTGAGACCAAGTAATTTATGCTCATCATTGGCTAGTTCACCATTTTTCTGGTGGAAGACAATGTGAGCTTTCTCTCCTTGAAGTCAACTTTTATATGAAAATCATTCTCTCAGATGGATGTCTCTAAAAAAATCCCAACCTCCAAAAGAAGATCTGTTGGTCATTCTTTTCATCCTGTCAGGGTTAAGCATGGCCATTTTCTATCTCTGCTCTCATCTCTGAAAGGCCCAGAGCAGCTTCTACCATGGAATCATGGAAGCAGACTAAGGCAGGACAGTGTCCCTGTGGGAGCAAAAGATGTTGGAGTAGAGCTGGTGGTGATCTTCCAAGCATCAGTGGTTTGAAAATCCCAGCTGAAGGGAGATCCAGGTCAGTTGATGCTTGCACATGATTGTCCACACTTGACTGTAGGCCCCCTAATTCTGCTCTCTGTGACTCAAGCTCAAAGCCAGGGTCTGCTCTCAGTGAAATTTCACTGATGTGAATCACAGATGAACCATCCTCAGCGATGACCTGAAATCCAGGAGCCCTCAGATCTACTGCTGGGTCTGCTGAAGGTTTTAGCATCACCTTGGGCAGGTCTCAGGTCTTATGAGTTTCAGTTTCCTGCCTGGAAAGCAGAGGATTCAGTTTCTTTCCTCAGAGCAGCATGGCTTTATAAAGTACAAATATTTGTGAAGTTAAGTGCTTTGACTGTGTGAGCCTCTGAGAGAAGAAACCATAAATATGTGTCAGGCCTATGATCTGAATTCAAACCAGTGAACTAGAAAAAGTGTTGACAGCCTGAAACCAACTGCCCTGTACACACATCTCCTTCTGTCTACCTGAAGGATTATTTGTGGAATGTGTTTCTATTTTTCTCTGACAAAAAAATAGAATACCAAGCAAAGAAGCATGACCCATTTCTTTGTCAGGCAAGCTCTAAACCCTGCTTACTGGGATGTGACTGAGCTATTGATAAAAAAGAAGCTCATTTTAGGCCACAATATTCATCCTGCCCTTGAAGAAGAAACAAAGCCTGCCACGTTCAGATGAAATGGATGTGCTTTCTGAGCCAAAGTACGTTTATCTCCTCCACAACTTCTCCATGATCTGTAATTACATTTGGACCAGCCAGTGAAACAGGTAAGTGGCAAATGAGGAGAGTTAGGAATGTAACTAATCATTTTATAATAGGAAAACATCCAAGCAGTACAGCACTGACAGTACCTGCAAACTCTGCTAATAGTCAATCAATAGGTCTGATAAGAGCATCACTCGTCATAAACTGCTTCACCTTCAGCAATTTTTCACGGTTCTTTCTCTGTAGTGTGGGTGCACATCGTGCTCTTCCTGATGTTGCCATAGGAGCCGACTTCCCTCATGGTTTTTTTTTTATATAGCATATAGTATATTCAAAACAATATCAAGTCATACCACACTGAGCTTTTTATTACCAGAGATTTTTGGACAGAAGCACATAATCTAAATTTTCTGAATTAATAGGCAGATGGTAGCTACTTTTTTTTTTTTGTTTTGTTTTTTTTTTCCAACTTGTACATTTTAGATTTACAGAACTTGATTTCACACATCTGAAGAAACACTGACATAAATCTAAATTTATCTTTGATGCATTTACAAATATTCTTTTTCTTCTTCTTTTTTTTTTTTTTTTCATTTCCTAAAGTGTCTCTGTCTAGACTTCTGCCAAAAAGCAGAAACTTTCATTTTCTCCTCTGTTAACATAAATACCTTTTAACATTATGCAGAGAATGGCATGACTGTCACTTTCCCATGAGGACATGAGGACCATTCATTCCACCACTGAAACACATCTGCTTTCCATTGGCCAGGATAAGTAGCTCTGACATATTCCTGCTACACACTGTGCTAGTGCGAATATCCCTGAAATGCAGAATATTTGTGACTCTAGGCTTGTTGAATTCCTTTTCATTACTGTTTTCAATTTAGTTCCCTGAAACAATGAAGGTTAGCTGCATTCGACTCTTAATTGGACTTCACGTTGTATTAGTCATTATTTTTGCAAAGGCCTTAATTCCCCTCTAAAACATTTTAATTAAAACAGCAATTTCTCGGTGCCGCACTTCACGAGCAGATTTTTTGCAGCAACTTCAAAGAGACGCAGATGTTTACTGAATTTGGTGGGGTGGTATTTGAGGCTGCCTACTGGCAAAATAAAATTCATAAACATCTCAATGAAACTTTTCTGTGGTAATGACAACATTTCCTTCTGATAATTTAGCAAGTCTAATATTTCCCAATCTCGACAGGCCTGTTTCATAGGCACAGCACAAGCAGCGTTATCTACTCAGAATGAGCCACAGCAGCTGCTCTGCTGTGGGGTAAAAACCTCCCAGTGGTGATACCTTGGGCTTTGGCAAAGGGTACAAGAGGCCACACATTTGCTTGTGGGGCTCCTCCAACAGAATATCAGTAGACTGGGAATAAAGAAACCAAAGTTCAATTTCTGCTGGATTTTCCACAGCTCCCCAGGGTGATTGTGGGAGGCCATTTAGCTTCGTGTGCCTCAGTTCCAGCTAGTAAAAGCTGATAACTGCTGATAACTGCTGGCTTTGAATGGACTTACCTGCTGGTCTATCTCCTAGTGCACCAAGGGGTGCTTGAGGGGGTCTCGGGGTTTATAAAGTGCTGTTTGAATAAAATTCAGGAATTCTAGGGGATTATTTTGGAAGAGTTTCTCTTTACTAGTGGCAGCAGAGCCTGGAGCTGATCTTAGAATCCATTTGGGGGTAACTGGGCAGGCAGTGCTCCCCTCTGAACTGAGATGATGGTACTGGGGACACATAGCCATGGCAGACTGCATCTAAAATACAGAGTAGGGTCCAGGTATCTTCTGTGGTTTGGGCAGGTGTTTGTCCCCAGAAAATACCTGGCCTGTCCAGCTGAGTCACCAGGAAGGGTGGTCTCCATGTGCAAGGATCACCATCTCTCACGAGTGATGGTGAGGCTCAGGCTCCTTTCTGTGACAGAACCAGAATTCTTAATGCTGGAAATGACCTGTAAAACCATCAAGTCCAACTGTTAACCTCACACTGCCATCTTCACCACTAAATCATGTCCCCAAGTGCCACATTGAAGCCTTTTCCTGAACATTCCAGGGATAGTGATAGTACCACTTTCTGGGTAGTCTGTTTCTTCCCTGGGTACTCTTCTCTCATATTTTTGAAGGGAGATAATAGAAGCACCTGGAAACAGCTTATCCATTCCCACTGTGAGCACTGGGAAAAGACCAGCAAGGAAAGCCAGCATGGAAAATGGCGTGACACGTCATGTAGCTGCTTTAATCTACACTGTAATTACTGTGACAATTTCTGCCTCTTGAAGCATCAGGATTGAAGTGGTTACCCTGAAGGAGAAAGAAACTTAGTGGGAGAATTTCAACCAAATCTAGGATGGGAACTGCAGCACTTCCTCTGCATTGGATTAAAAGTGATCAGCATGGCCAAAGGCATCCTGTGAGAGACAGGTAAGCAGCCTGAGAGGAAATTTGAAATACTAAAGGAATGAAGCTGGACTGGACAGAACTAGTTTTACAATTCCCTATTCCTCTTTGATTTGGTAGCATTAGGCAGACTGAAGGGTAGATTATACCCTTTGCAGACTTATGCGTGACAGCAAGATACTTTTCCACACCAATAAACCCCCTGAAATTAATTGGACCTCTCACAAAAGTGCCTGGGAATGTGAACTAGGCTTGCACATTTCAGCCCTCAGATTTAATCTTTCTTCAGCAATGCCAGGGCCAGACTGCCTGGTGAACAGCTAGAGCTCAGCCAGAAATGGGAGTTCAGAGCACTCTCGGTGACTGGGTCAAGGTCTCTGTGGACACATCCTTGCTGAGGAGCATCTCAGCTCAGCTGAATTCACCATAGCAAGAAACAGATTGAAAATGTACCAAAGGAAACTATTCTGAAGCGAAAGCAGGGATCAGCCACAAGTTTGTGCTCACCACAAACTGTTGTGTATTTGCTGTGAGGTGGAATTGCTTATGTGAATGATTTTAGCTGGTGGCAAATGCTCTCAATGAGAATTAGCCTGGCCTGCAAAGAGGGAAACTTAATTTTAGGTAGTTGTCCTGTGAGTGCTGTGGGATAAGAGCACACAGCTAGGTGTCCACAGAGGCATGCTTAAGCTGAGGTCCCTGTTCACCAACTGCAAATGGGCTCCTGAAAAACCAAACCATATGAAAAATTCCCCTCACGTGCTGGTCTGGAAAGAAATAGCTTTGTTGTTGTTTCAAAGAATTAGTGAGCCAACAACTCAAAGCTTTGGGGGTGGTTACTGGGTTTTTACTGGAGTCTCTATGAGCTATACAAAGTCTGAAGACATTGTACGTACAGTACATCTTTAATAAGAATGGAGCTCACAGTCTACCAAACTCTGCCAAATAAACTTTTAATACATACTGTACTTCACTCAGTAGTTGTCCATCTCTTCTTCATGGAATATCTAACAGCTCTAAAAATATTTTCTTGGAGGAGGATAGAATTATCATTGCTATATATCAATCAAGTATGGTTAATGAAGCAAAGCCAGCATGCTAGTATTGCACAAGGGGAAAAGCCTCCAGAACACAAAGTGGAACAACAAATGCCCTCAAAATTCTGCCGAAGGGAACAGGAAGCTCTGGATGCTGCATCGGTAGGATTCGTGTAGCTCTTAGGCGTCCTTGTACCACAGCAGGTTTGCTTTGCCTCTTCACTGCCACATTTCTCTCTCAAACAGGTTGGGAACTTCCAGACCATTGCAAAAAAGGAAAAAAAAAAATAAAAATACAGCAGCTGCAGCAAAGTGTGGTACTATTCAATTTCTTGAAGAGTGAGGCTTTTATTTCAAAATATCATATATTAATATATATATATTTCTATATATATATATACTTTAACTGGTATAAAGTAAATTGTAGATCCAAACTTATACTGTTGCTTGTACTTCATAATCTCAGAAACTTTACCAAAGGAACCACTTTCTTCATTTTTTATTTTCAGTTGTCAAAAAATCAGGGCCATTATTTTCACCGAATCCTTTCTCTCATACAGTAAAGCCACTGTTGTTTTCTGGTAAACAGTCAAAGTGCAAATAAGAAATCCATTTGGCTTGTAAATGCTGAGATGGTTTTAAACTTTCAATACTTTGTCCTCATAAATCAGCAGGGCTTTCACTGTCTCCATGCAGATGTGGGCACTCTGTTAAGTCCTTGGGTGGATCTGCAGTGAGAAAATGGGAAAGAGTTATGCATAATATGTTATTTTTAAAAGACAGTCTTTTGGAAAAGAAAGACCCAGGCTCTGTGGGATGTAGCTGATATAGCTCAGTTTAAATGCAATACTAGAAGGGTGTGTGTCTTTTAGCGCAGCAGGGGTGTAAAATATGCAAGAGACAGATCCTGAGCAAGATCCTACCTCTGCCTTGGGAGATACTGGATGTGCATTAACCACCTGGGCTGGTGGTGCTGGACATCACAGAATCACAGAATCTCTTGGTTTGGCAGAGACACCTTCCACTACCTCAGGTTGCTCCGAGCTCCTTCCAGCCTGGCCTTGGACACTTCCAGGGATGGAGCAGCCACAACTTCTCTGGGCACCCTGTGCCAGGGCCTCACCACCCTCACAGGGAAGAATTCCTTCCTAATATCCAATGTAAACCTGCTGTCTGTCAGTCAGAAGCCGTTTTCCCTTGTGCTGTGCCACAATGCCCTTGTAAAGAGTCTCCTCCCACCTTCCTTGTAGGAGCCCTTCAAGTAAGAAGGACATGCCAGGACAGCTTTGGGTCTGTGGCTGTGCTCACCCCAGCCTTCTACCCTCCCCTCCCCAGAGTGATTCCCGTGACTTCTGCTGGACAAGGCAGGCAGGAGCACCCACCTTTCAGGTTTGGAACCCCACCAGCTACTGACTGGCCATAGCAGCTACTCCATCTACTCACCAGATTCGTGTGAGATAACACACCCTGCAACAGAGCAAAACCCATCCCTCTTTGTGACTACCACCAAAATTGATCTGAGTGCTGCACTAATGCTGCAAGAGGAAACACCAGGAGCTCTTTTAGGATGCTGAAATAAGAACAACTGACTGACAGCAAAAAATAGTGCTCTCAAGGAAATGCTTTTGTTATACTTTTGTTTCTTCCCTGTACTGGTATAACCTGATGAATGCCACAAGGGGTTCAGGCCTTTGCCAGGCTCCTGGGTCAGCAATGAAACTCACATTGACTTGAATATGATCAGGCTTGGCCATTAAATCAGGGCTACAGATTATGATCTAAGCACGAGGTGATTAAAAGCAGCAGTAAATATTAGAGCAAGAGAGATTGACATGAGATCTGGCCGGTTCAAATTGAATGAAACCGAATCCCACCAGTTAAAACTCAAACAAATGGTCTAAACCAGATTAAACCAGTCAAAAGCAGTTCAAACCAGATTAAGCTGGTCAAAACAGGATAAATGTGATAAAATCAGTTTAAACCATTTCAAACCAAATCAAACCTAACTGAACAAGTTCAAACTGGCTCAAACTAGTCAGAACCAGTTCAGATGGGCCAGAACTGGTTCATACTGGTCCAGACTGGTTCAACTTGATCAAACCTGGCTGTAACACAAGGCCCAGGCTGAGGAACTGGAGAGGGGCTTTGAGCTGAGCTCCTCTGCCCATTCCTAGCTGATCAACACATTAATTTCCATGCTCCAGAATATCAGCAGCATCCAGCCTGAGATGCTGCTCCTCTATTTCAACACAGCTGTTGTGCTGAAAGTGGTGATGTGACCTCCAGCAGGTCCTACCACAGCTCCAAGGGCCCCACATTTTTAAGGAAAACATTAAAAGTTCTTAAATAAATTATTAAAAAAAAAAAAGTGACAAGGGATTAAAGAAACATTGAAACTGCTCCAAAAATTAAATGACAAAATTATTTCATTCCAGTGTTTGTGACCTGCGTGACCATCAATAGAAAACTAATCAATTTAAGGAAGCTGTAAGCTTTATAACTTTAGCTTTAAAAACCTAATTAGAGAGTTATGCTAAAGGGCAAAACACAGAAATAAATGCATGAAAAGGAAGGAATGAAGAATGTGCTGGCAAAGACTTCACTGAGTCTGTTGTCCACCTCCTTCTGACACTAATCAGTATTAATCACATCTGAGAGTCAACCATGAAGTTATGTACTACCCTAGAAAATGATTTATATTGTGTATATCCATATATCTATGCATTCATATATATATATATATATATGTATGTATGTATAAATGTACACATGCTTATATGTGATTTACTGTGGACCTGGGAGAATGTACTAATGGGTATCTTAATCCTGAGAGTCATAAATGTGAATGTTTTCCTTGTCAGGACAGCAGCTGCCTAATGTAAATGTATTTAGTGTAAGGAAAAGCTTTCATTAAAACAGTTTAAAGTTTACAGCCTATGGAGACTTTCTGTAGCTTTCTGCCTAATCACCACAGAGAGAGCTGGGATGTTGACTGATTTGTCTTGTTTCTTCTGCTTTCTTAACTTCCTTAACTACTCAAATTGGACACACATGGCCCAGTCTTGGAACCTGGATTGTGCTCAGGGCAGTTTACATTGTAATCTCATTCTCTGCTGCTGTCTGAAATGGCAAAACAAAGGAAAAAAGCCCCAAAATAACAACCTGTTTCAAGATCTGATTGCTTCCATATTTTTACATTTATGTTGCTAGACTTGACGTAGTGCTACAGATTAGAGCAAAGTTTCAGGGACTAAGAAGTAGAATTTTTCCTTAGAAAATGCAAGAGACAGTTGCTGAGTGCATCATGTCATGTTGCCTTTGTCAATTGGGTTCTGTAATGATATTTTAAAGCAACAAAGCAAAATTCTACTGGAAGCAGCACCATAAGGTACTCCCCTCACAAGCTAATTAAAATAACTCCTGTGGGTAAATGAAGAAATATTTTTTCAGTTATGAGCACTCATTCTGCAAGTATTTAATTCAAATGAAATACAATAATGCATACTGAATAGATTGGACCATACATCTGCATATTAATGAAGCTGCTAAATTTCTAGCAATCACTTCTATCACCTAAAACTAGTTTATATGATGAGAACTGGGGGAGTTAAGAGAAGGACAGCTTCACTGAAGAAAGAAAATGCAATTCCTCAATTATATAACCTGAAGACAGACTGCAGAAGGGCTGAATTATTGTATAAGATACTTCATGTTGCTTCTTAGCTCTTCTACATCACTTTCTTCTATTTTAACTCCCCACTTTCCTCACTGAAAAGGACATGTAGCGAGTTTGTGGTCTGGGAGTTTTTAATTTCACTGCAAGGCACATTCAGTAACAAACAGCCTTCCAGTGGTGCTGCAGTGGGAAGAGATCAGCTGTGGGCACACAGAGATTTGCAGCAGAAAGAAACTGAGTCAAGGAATCTCAGTTCCCTCCATCCTTCCTCCTTTTCTCTGGGAGCTGACAAAGAGATCACTTGGATCTTGTTTTTGGGGGCCACTTACTGCTTCCTACAAAGAAAACCTCCTAAGTCAGTAGGTCTCCTGATAATTTAATGTGTTGGCAGAAGGCTCTGCTCCAGAAATGAGGGTTGCAATACAAATCATTCATCCTGGAGTAGGTCCTATGGAGGGAAAGAAAAGGATTCAGGTGGCATGGAGATCAATTAGGGTAAATTCTCCTCCTTCAACAGAAGGCCTAGAAGATATAGAAAATGATTGGAGTTAGGATTGAAGAGAAAGGAAGAAGTCAGGAAATCACAACACTGTGCTGCGTACTCCTGTGAATTAGCAGCTGGGCATGTATGTAGAATTTTTTATCAAACAAGGGAAAAAATCTTGAAAATTTGCTCTTTTTAATTTAGCAGGTTTCAAAAGCCATTTTCCAGTTCACAGAAAATGAAAATTTATATATTTATAAAAGCATTTGGAGTTGACAACCATGTAATTTTCTTGGAAAAAAAATTCAATTATGGTATGAAAATGAGTTAATTAAAATTGTTGAATACAGGTAGAAGTGACAGTTTTAAGACAATGGTTGTGAAACAGTTTCACAACACAAAAGAAAAGCTAGAATCTACTTCTGAAAAACACTTTTATTCCCAAGGTATTCTCATAGTGGGAGTTTAGGCAGCTCATTCACACCCTCTCTTTGCAGCACTCTGCCTTTTCCTGGCATGGTGTGGTGAAAGCTGTCGTCACCTGTTGGCTTGTGCTACCTGAACCTGCAGCATCTCAAGAGTTTGTCACTAATGAGTTCGTGGGGCTGGAGCTGCTCTGAAGTGAGACCTGCAGTGGAAACAGAGAGCTGAGTCCTCTGCTACAAAGCATTTGTACAGCTGCTAATCCAGATGTGGCCTGGAACCACCAAGGAAAGGATGCAGGACCCAGAAGATCCCTCGAGCTAATATTCTCCATTCAGCCACCAGGAAGGGACTCAATGATGTGCATTAAGGGTATTTTGAGTAACAATGTCTGTAAGAAGGTGACCTGGCAATTCAGCAGCTCCAGCCTGCTGGTTGGAGCCTGGACCCAGCTGACCAGCCTGATCTGTGTGAATTTTCACCAAATTATGGCCAGAAGCACTGGGTGATCATGACAGTGGTCTTTAAGACTTTTACAGCAGGCATGATGATGGAAAAGACATAGGTGAGCAGTCATTAGTGATTCCCTTTTCTATTAAGATCTTCTGGGGGCAGACAGAAAGGAGACTTACTCTGGTGGTCTTGATTTTATTGCCAGTCGCACACATCCATCCAGAATTATCAGGCAATGTCTTACATTCCTCTCCTTCTAGGCAGGGCTCCATCTCACACCACCATTTCCCAATCACTATAGAAGCTAAAAGAGAAAAGACAATGTTCACAACTATGTTACAATGACCAAATCTAATTAAATAATATCTCAAGGGTCTAACACTGCAGTTAAAAGGCAGAGTGTCCCTTCAACCGGAGTTTAGTGATAAGGATTTCATATTTAATTACTTGTTTGGCATCCTTTATTGCCTAAGACAGTGCACTGCTTGCCACAGCCTCCTCACACAAGAGATCTTTTCTTTTCCCATGCTGTGGCTGCAGGGAATGCTGTGATGGCAGCAATTCTGCTGCAGACCAAAGGACCATCCAGCCCAACAGCCCCTTCCCCTGAGCGCCAATCTCATCTTCATGGATGTGTACAAGAACAAGTCTGAGGAGATTTTCCTCAGAATATTCTCCAGGTCTTCAGGACTTCTGGTTCAGCGTACTCCACATAAAACTATGTCTGCTTTGCTTTCAGGACCTACAGGTGGATTTTTTTTTATCACAAATCTGTCCAGAATTATTTGAACCCATGGAGACTTTTAGCTTTCCCAATACGCCATCACTAGAGCACCACAACTAGAAACAGAGGGTAAGGTGACAATGAACAGCAGCAGAAGCTGTTTGTTGAAACACAATTATGAATTTTATAGAAATCATATTATCTCTAAAAGTAACTTTTAATTTCCAAATATTTAACATTGTAAATAATGGCAGTGTTTGGACCCAGTTGTTTGAATTTAATTGGCACATGTGTTTACAACCTTGAATGTACCTTAATGAAGTTTCTTGCCTGGGAATTGGTATCTTATTGTATCCTTAACTGTATCTTAATGACATTTTTTGTCTGGGGATTTTGATAAACTTTAGCTAACCTTGCAACTGTGACGAGTTGGCTCATGAGTGGCTCTTTCTCTGGCAAGAATTAATTTCATGGTTGCACTCAGGAAGCCTGTCAAAGCTTTCTGCACAGTCACTCAAAGAGAGATGCTTAACCCATTTATATCATCCCTCATGGCTGCTTCAAGCCCACAAAATACCTTTGAAGCAGCTGCCTACCTAATACATATATATTAATATATATACACACCAGCTGACTGCCATTCAGCTCTGGAAAATGCCCTGTTGTGCATGCATTGATTTAAGGGCATTACAGAGCTTATAATTAAATTCTTGAATTTAAAATTGGATAGAATAGTTCAGTTTGAGGGGCCTTACAATGATCATAGAGTTCTCAGCGTTGTCTTTCCTGTTTTTTCCCACAGCTTGTATCTGATTTTTATCATAAAATGTATCATTTCTCTATAAATACAAGACACAAAAAGAGCCCTTTACACCTGTGCTGGCAAGGCAGTTTAATGATGCTATTCACACACCTTTTTCAGAAGGGAATCATTAATGCTGCTAACAGCAGAGAAAAAAGATCTCTCTTTGCAATGCATGAAAAGGCGTGAGGGCTGAATCCGTGCTCTAATAATAGATTGTGCAGTGAGCAAACTGAAAAACCATATCCTGCTAAATACTGGCCTTCACAGCAATCATCAGAGCAGAGCATCCTCAGGATGCGTGAGAAGAATCCCGTGACACGGAATCAAAAGTGGTGATCATCATTATTTACTGGGAGCAGCGCTGCAGCATTAAATAACCGCGGAGAAGGATCCGACCGTGCCAGGTACTAAAACCCACAAACCTGAACGCCCTGGCCTGGGGAGCTGACAGTGTAAAACAGAGAGATGAGGTGAGTACAGGCTGAGAGGCAGCGTGGAGGAGCAATGCTGCTCACAGAAATTCAAATGATCTCACTACTTCTTAATGCTGTTAAATACAGCCCAAATATTCAGATCTCGACCTTGAAAAATAATCAAATGCAAAGTCAGTGCTGAACCTTAATGGCAACTGACTCATGTAGTGGTGTCTAATACACCACTTTAAGTATATATAATATGTTTTAGTATATACATATATATTTTTATTGATTTATGATTCCAGTGCAATCACACCCAAGTGTCCATCAGTGAGCATCCTCACCTGGGCTGAAGACCAGGCTCCTTCTATAATGGGAGAAACTAATGGGGGAAATTTGCAGATGAAAAGCTCCTCTTTGTCTCTAATATGTAAGTAGGCAAAAATCCTTTGTAAGTCTGAAGCACTACAAAGCTTACTGTGGTCTAGTCCTCAGGTGCATACCATGGCAGGGACATCCAAAACCCAAAGAAAATTACTTTCTTTGAATCTTGTGTTTATAGGTTTTCTCTTCTATTAAGAGCCTTTTAATCTTTAGGACCAGTTGTCTTTCTTGGGAACTGCTGATCCTTTGAGTTCTACTTGATTTCAAAGTTTTACACCTCCAGCTCTGTTCAAAGAGGGAGGAAAAGGCTTTAAAACGAATCACAGTTTGCAGCACCTGAGATTGGGCCCACCTGTGGGAGGAGGGGAGAAACCTTCCCCAGGGAAATGATGCAGCTTCTCTGTGTTTAGGTTCTGTCACTTTGAGATGAGCTGAAGCAGTTGGGTGGGAGAGGGAATTGCCCAAATTAAGATGCTTCCCCTCAGTGTGGTTTTTATTCAAGACCTCCCAGATCCCGAGGAACCTGAGTCTCAGTGACCCAAACCACTCATCCTGGGTGAGAATTAGAGATTCCTGTTAATCACCAGGCAGCACAGGCTGTGAGTGCTCACATCATGCTGAATTAGACACCTGGAGCATTCTGGAGTGCGTCTCATCGTGCTTTTCTCACTGTCTGGGGAGTACACGAAGCACAAGAGTTTCTTCATGCAAGGGTGAATGGACTGAGACAGATCCCTCTGCCATGGGGAAAGGAAAAGGACATGGAACACAAGAGCTTTGACTACTCCTGCTTTGCTTGTGTTTGGTTTCAGTGCTTTATTTTTGTCTTTTTTTTCCCACCACCTTCTAGGTTAAATAAGGAATTGTTTATATCTGAACTATTTTCAAGAAAATGCCTCTTTTATAAGAATATTTAACTCCTAACGTATCACCAATGGAGCTGGGGAAAAAAAGTAACTTTCTTCAATAAACTCTCGAGGTTTCTTTTTCATCCCAATTGACACTTTCTAAAAATCTTTGTTTGCAAAGCCATAGAATAATTTTGATGAAAATATTTAACTTTTGATGTATTTATTCTGCATGGATTAACACACACAAAAAGCATTTGGTTGAAATGGCATTTGCAAATCATGGGCTCCAGACAAACTACAAATAAGAAATCTGAAGATCAGATAGAATACAGGGAAAAGAGTAATAGCATAGCTTATATTTTCTCATGTTTACACAATTCTATTGCATTTTAAAATACATTTGTTCCCAAACATAGTGTCCAAAGCCTTAGGGGACTGCAGGGAGCTGCCAGTTTAGCTTGGATTCAGTGGGATTCAGCCTTCAAAGTTCATGAGACCCTTTGGAGGCTGCACAAAGGTAGTGACCATGTTTTGATTTGCTCTTGTGCATCATCTGGAGCACAAAGTTGTGATATATGAGGACAGCTGGCTGGGGAAAAGCTTTCCCCTTGAATTTCAGTGTCAAAGTATTCTATTAAGGGGCAGTAGAAATGCACTGAACACCATATATCTACACCTAAAAGATCAAATCAGCACACAAACACTAATTGTTCAATCATCTTCTTCTTGAGTACAACAAAGTTTGGGAAAAATACACAATCCATTTGATTAAAGCTTCCTGTTGAAACTCCTGAATTTATTATGTTTCACATTTCTCAGTCTTCAAGTTCTTGCATTAAACTGAAGGTACTCAGTTCCTGAAAGGCATTTTACAGGTGATTAACAGGACATGGACAGAGGAAATGTGCACACACAGCCCAGACACTCACAGAAAATTGCTTCTGTCATTTTTGCTACTCCTGCCTGTAGAGAAAATGCAAATTTTTTGGTTTTGTTTTGCAGATAAAGTTCTCCTTAACTTTTCTGCATTTGCATTTAGGAAACTGCTTTAACAATATGACAGTCTATATGGCAATAAGTATAAAGACATTATATTTAACAATGTAACAATGAGACCATCCTCACAAAGTAATAGATAACTTTAATTCATGTTTATGGAAACTTGAAATATGAAAACAGAGCAAAGTATCATCATGCATTTTTCAGCAGTTTAGAAGGAACAAGCTATGTATTAAAATGTTCCAAGATGCTTCTGCAGTTGCCATTATAAAGCCACAGCAGCTCTCTTTTTGCCTGTGATAAAGTGCACACATTTTGTTTATATAGAAATAGAATACAAAGGAATGGAGATATTAGATTGTGGTTCCTCCTGATCATAGGTATTGTGTTACTGCAAGGAATAAGAAGCTCATTTTCAAAACCAGTATGACACTCATGGCAGGAAGGGAAAGTTTTCCCTGTAAGTACAGAGCATTCTGTTTTAATCGTGTTTCTACCAGCCAAGATTGATATAAATAAAATTTAAATAGAGAACACATTTCACAGATGTCAGAAGTGAAAAAGACTTTGTCAGCTTAATGAAAAGATATCAATTTTCTCCTCTTTATTCAATATATTGTGAGTCATTTTCTAAATGGATTAGATTAAAGGAAAGTTCAAACTCCCTATGAGAGATTCTTGTGCTGATGGAGATTTTGGCAATAGCAACAGCACAGAGGTGGGTAAAATCTTTCAAGCAGTTTGTAATATTTTTTTTATTTTTTTTAAAAAAAAGGATATAAACTAGAATGGGAAAAACTGTAACCCTGTGTTCACCTATACAACAAAATCTCAGAGAATTGAATGAGACATGCAGTTTCTCTTAGTTTATTGGGATGTCATGGGGAGCAGAATGAATTACAGGGGTGGGAACACACTTTCTGAGAGGATGAGAAAACTGGACTGAAAGGAAGTGTCATTTGAAGGGTTATGTATTTCATAATCAGACAGAGATAGCAGGCACTCTGGGAGCTGTAGAGGAGCAATCTGATGAGTTAAAGAATACAAATCCAAAACAAAAGATTTCAGGTTGAATATTGCTATCTGGGAGAAATGCAGGATGTTTCCTACAGGGAGTCCAAACTA